GATAATATTGCTGTACTACTTGTTGTTTGGAACAGATGTCATGTGTAGAAACACCAAAACAACAAAACCGACTAATTAAAAAGTGTTAAAATATGAATAAAAATAAACAGCATCATCTAAAATACTTCATGAAAGTATGAATAAACATCAGCTGAACTGATTAATGGATGAGGCTGTGTTCTGTTACCATCCAGGTGTTGTTTGCATTTCAAGTAGTAGACAAGTAGTGTAAAATTTGGTAGTCCATCACTAGCCTTTAACCAGGAATGACACTGAGTTTGTATGTAGCTACTGTGTGCCTATGAGAGAGAAAGAGGGAATAAGAGTGAAACCTGACCCTTCTGTCACCTGCATCTGGACAAGAAAAGAAACGGATTGGCTGAGTCAGAATGTGCCGTTTTCTTGCTGAAGCAGCTGTTCTGTCCTTCCACACACCGACCCAGCATGCCCTGCATGCAACCTGAGCTCAAACACAACAAAAAATAAGCCCTCTTCACTCAGCTGCACATGCATGTTACTGACTGACTATGACAAAACACAGAGAATGACATCAAGCCGCCAGAACAGCTGCCATCGTAGATACAAAATGTATCAGGGGCTTTCGCATGAGCTGTCATAAAACCAGTATGCACTGTAGATGCTCCCCTTTGGAGGGCTTTGCAGCAAACTGGCAATTTTCCATTGTGTCCTCGCTCACGTGTCCTGTCACTCAACTTGTCACCATGGAGATGAGCTAAGCTTCTCTATTTCTCATGCTGTAGTGCATATACTGCAGCACACAGCAGCAAAGGCATACATGGCTAATACTGTCACAACTAACATGAGGCCAGGGCACATCTTTGAGCTGTGTACTTGTGCAATGACAGCAAAAAAAAGCACTGAATGTATTTCTCCTTTTCCCATTATTGCGACACACTTATACTCATATAGAGGGGTGCAGGGAATAAGTCCCTGAATGCATCTCAAGGTGAGTGTCACCTCACTGAGACAGCGCATGAGGACAAAAAGTTAGCAGCAGCTCGTAAAGGGCAACTGCCACTTCAGATAAATGTACTAAGTGGGCACTGAATGGAATCACACCACTGATGCAGATGCAGGGAACATTAAGAGTGAAGGTTCATCACTATCTCCTCAAATGAGTCACGCATAAGGAGGACACATAACTGTGCAGTGTCCAGCAGCAGACGTGACAATTAAGCATTGCAAACATCGTGTACAAGAACATCAGGTTTTAACATTTTCATGGGAAATGAAACGAAAATGTACGGAAGCCAAAAGTGGAAAATAAGGCTCAGCATGTTAAAAAAACTAACACTTATAAGTCTTTTTTCCCCCTTTACCACTCACTAAATTTGTTGCACAAACAGAGGTAAAACAGGTAAAAAAAAGAGGTACAAATTTCGCTAAAGGCAACAGTATGACAGAAGATTAGATCCACATTAAGGAAGGAACAAAAATTAAGATTTCAATAATAAAGTCATAGAGAATAAAACCCCAAGAAAATAGTGTCTCAGTATTACAAGAATAAAGTCATAATATTATGAGTATTAGGTTGTGAATATTAAATATTTGTAAAATCTACTTTGAAATAGACACTGAAATAGATGCATCATTGTATCTGTTCTCACGCTATCCTCCTTAACAACAGTAGTAGCATTTAAGCTAATTGTTGGCTAAATATACAACTATCATTCTCACAACAACAAACTTTATTGTCACAGCGTTATTATTTTGTTCCCTGAACTTAAAAACCTAATTTTTGAAGCATAGCAACCTTATCTCGTAATACAACAACTTTAACCTCAACGCATTATAACTTAGTTTCTGTGACATTAATACTTGCGTTCATAATATCATAACTGATGTTGGTATAACATGATGACTTTATCGTAAAAATACAACTTTAGCCTTAAAATCTTTTTTTTTTAAATAAGGTGGCCCTAAAACTCAGCTGCACAACTAGGATGTCATTTTGGCCAATTTATAACATAGTGGTTGCTTTGAGCAAAAATTAGCAAAAAAAAAAAGGAATTTATATATATATATATATATATATATATATATATATATATATATATATATATATTAAAAAAGGCCAAGTGTGAACATTTTAATTTCAGGTTCCATGTAGCTAATGTTGGCTTAAACTCCTATTGCTCCTTTTCCCAAAACTAAAAAATCTACTAAATGTTGATAAGTTACTTGAATAGTTCTGATAGCTCAAGACTACCAGAGAAAAAATACATGAAATCAAATTTTAGAAAAACTTGATACACAGCCTCTAGATGAACTCAAGGTCAGCAGACATAAAAATGCGTAATTGTCCTTACTGTGTAATTTGGGGCTTCCTTTGTGCGGACTCGGAGGAAGGTCCGCGAACTGTACCCGGTGTCCCGACATGTCCGGTACGCACCACCTCTCAGGTCAGAACCACGCTGTTCTCCTTTCACCGGGTTTGTTGCAGAGTATCCGGTAACTTCCGAGCACGCGGCTGTACTGACTGGACTGACTTTGCGTCCTAAGCGCGTGGGAATACTTCACACCGGTGGGAAACGTCTGTCATTGACTTTCTCTCTGCTCCCTCTGCATGTGCGTGTGTGTGTTTGTGTATGAATGTGTACGTGTGTGTGTGCGCGCAGCTGACTGTGTGCCAGTACTGCAGCAGCAGCCTGCTCTGTCTGTCGGTCCACTCTCACCTGCCCTCTGCTCCTCTGTGCCCTGATACTTTCTGCTCCATATGAGACGCTCTGAGGCAGGGAGCGGCTCTGCCTCTTTCCCCGCATTAAAAGAGATAAAAACTTTTATCTGCCCGTCGTCCACATGACTGCAGGGTTACGTCATCATTGTAAAGCGCTCAGGGAAATGAATTTTAATAAACCCACGACCGAGTGGAGGAAAATTCTCATTATTGGTATTGGAGGTTATTTTCAATCAGGCAGTTATCAGCTTGAAAATGTAGCCCAGTTCATTATCAATGCAAACTTTCTCAATCAGCAGTGCTCAGAGTCTCTTCTTGGATTAATTCTAATATTCGTTAATCAATTAAATCTAATATTTACATGGAGACGTCTCAGTTTGTCATTTTAGAAATAGAACAACTAGTCGCGTAAAAATTCACTCAGCAGGTCGACAACTTTGTGATCAGTGGAAATCCCTTCAGTGATCGGTAACTTTGTCAGTGTCTAAAGGGTGGCTGCACCACCACCTAGTGTTAGAAACGTGCAACGATATGGGAAGTACTGAGGAAAAAGGCATGGCACTTCTCAGGAGCCTGATTTTTCTTTTCTTTTCTTTTTTTTTTAATTCCAAGATGGCACCACTGAAGAACAAAGTACTGCTTCTGGAATGATATATGCAATTTTGGAAGAAGTCTTTGAAATATCTTCACATTTGCAACATGAAAACATTGTTTTTAATGTGTATATTCAGCTCATGCCTGCACTGCCCATATGAACATAACTTGCACTTTACTACCTTCCACTTCTGGTTAGATGCTAAACTGCGTTGCGTTGTTCCTGTACTTGTACTGTGTTCAATGACAATAAAGTTATAAATAGAAGTTAAAGATAATCTAATCGAATTAAATTGATGATGTATGGACTTAAATGGTTTTTGCCCAATAGCAGTTATAGGTCTTTTGATCATAAAATAAATAAGACTCATAGACTTAAGGCGTGCCATATGAGGTGTAAAAGTGTGGATAATTTCAAGGGCGGCGCCCCCTGCAGACACGTCTTTGTGAGGATGCATATGGCAGGGTAAGGCGGGGCTTGAAAATATTTTCATCAACCGAAGTGTGGCTGAAGAGAAACATTTTAAGTATCTCTTTAAGTACAAGCTCTTTCTGGGGCTTTCTCTACATAGATGTAAAAAGTGACTACCCATTAAAAATTCTTAATTTTGTTTTTTTTCTTACAGGTTGAAAGAGTGAGGGGATAAGACAGATATTAATCCAATACAGAAGATAAGTGTTACTAATACTAACGTCTAAAAAAAAGTGCAATACTATGCCAAATATGATTTCTCTCAAAGTAGTAAAAGTCATATTAGGTTTCCTTGGAGTATGCACTTTTCCTTTAAAAACAGGCTATTTCCACAACCACCATAATTTAACACCTTAATCACAGACATAAGTGCCAGCTCAGGATATCCCAAATGACCGTAAACAGTTTCAAATATCTGATCTCATTTAGCTTTTAAACTGATGCTACAGTTGGGTTCATACTCTGTTTTCCACACAGCAAAAAAAAGTTGCTGTGCTTTCTAAAAATGGAGGGAACCAGAAAAACAAAACACCTCCACAAGTTGCTGTCAAACTGTACTCATTGTGACGGTGGACATCGCAGCCGCATCTCTGACAAAGCATGAGCGCCTCGTGGTCTGAGCATCAGGTGACTGTCATTTTGATAATACACACAGATCTGCAGCCTGACCCGCATGCGAGGCCTGCACAAACATCACTTTTTCATTGAGTTATTAATAAGATCGAGTGGAACTGAGTTGAAATGAAAACATAAAAAAGGTTTCTCCCAAGTTTTATTCTAAAATATTTTGTCAAAACACCTAAATAGAATTGGAATAATAGAAAAAAAAACTTGAATTGTTCTCAAATATACAAATGAAACTCTCTAGACTTGTCTGATAGGACTTATGTGCAAAAGAGGGCAGCTTTACAAATATCAAAACAACATGGAGGCAGAGAAAAAGTGGCAACTCAGAAGCTCAGACATCTTGTATATTAAAACAGCAACATTTTCCACCATTTCACCATAACCCAAACTATCAGAAAAACAGGCTCACACACTTTCAAACATTTTCTTCCACTACTATTTCATCTCTATTAAAAAAAAAAAACAAAGTCTGTGCACTGCACTTCGTTCTTTGATGTATAAATCTTATAAAAATAATTTAAAGCACGTAGAAACCAGGCAGGTCAGTGGTTCTGTCTCCTACTTGATCAGTATACAGCTTTTCTATTCTCATCATACAGTGTCTTTCTTTCATGCAGATCCATTCTGCTCAATGTACATTTTGGATAAAGAGGCCGCCATCGACTTAGCCAGTTCTTCATCTCGTTTCCTTTGCATCTGCGAGTTTCTGCACCAGTCCTCATACTCTGGATTGGGGAGAGAGTTATCCAGAAGGACATCATAGTGACCGTTGCTAAGCCAACTCAGCCAGATTGCAGGTTTAGCAGCATCCTCCTCCCCGAGATAGTGCACCATGGTGGAGACTGTTGGGCTCTCCAGGCTTCCTCCTGTTGTCAAGTGAATGTTGATGTTCAGCATCTGGCTCATGGCGAGGAGCTCAGGGTATCCGGCCCAGGCGCCATCCTGCGCCGCATTGATCAGGAACTCGCCGACATCTCCTTCTATGATGGGGTTGAACTCATCCAGGTGGTCTGCGATGTGGTGGACCGTCTGCTCCCTCAGCTCTGAGTGTCTCGCCTGGTCCCCGAATGTGGCCTTACACACGGCTCTGTACAGACAGTTTCCATCTGGAATGATGTGGTACCTGAATTTGTCTCTTTCCTGGAGATAGTTGTTTTGTTTCTCCACCTCAGCCAGGTACCTGGTAACTTTATCGTTGATGTCCTCTTTTTCTTCCCTTCTCTGTTGCGGTGACTCTTGAAGAACACTGAGTTCAAAGGCCCGTCTGTCCTCAGATTCTGGAGCAGGTTGGGCAATAAAATCTGCCTTTATGGGGTCTTCAGGGTGAGCTGCCCTGGGGGGAAGTGCCTCCTCTTGATTCATCGAGGACCATCCATTGCTCCTGAAGGGTGGATGACTCACTGAAGTGGTATCAACCTCACTTGAAATCCCAACAATCCTCCTGTTTTCTTCTAGTCTGGGTCGGCAGATGCTGCTACTGTTGAAAAAATGGTCTCCAACCAGCTCTTGGCAGCCGTCTGTCCCATTTCTGATGTGATCTATCAAGTCCACAATCACATCAGAGTCACAGCCATTATACAGAATACTTTCACCATTACTAAGAGAGTCAGGAGAGGGTGGTTTGGTCTTGGACTCCCTGACTATATGGACCGGCACGGACCTCTCTACCCCATCAGGTCGGCGGATTAATATCTCAGCAGTCGATGTGAAGTAAATCGGCCTCATAGAGGAGGCTTCATAACATGAAAAAGCAGGCATGTTTGCGGAAGAGGCAGCAGGCTCCCTCACCGGATCCTCGTTGGTGGCTGAAGTTGTTCCTGGGTGTGTAAATCCTGCTTTATCGGCCTCGGGGGGACTCGCTGTTGCCCCGTTCAGGCGCTCAGACGCGGCCGATAAAGTTATTGTAACTTTGCGAGACGACCTCGGGTAGTGTGTCAGCACACTGTTGTACAGCTGCATTTTGAAGGAGTCCTTTATACTGAACGCCGCGGCCGGGCCGTTACTGAAAGATGACAACAATATCTAAAAATATACTCCGTGTCATCAACAACGGCAAAGTTGTAGGGAGCGTTTCCATGGTCCTCGGTCCTGTCATTGACACGCAGAGACGAGGAGACTGTCCACTTTAGTCCTCTGGCGTCATTTGCTGTTGGGGTGCCTCCCTAAATTTAGACTTCAAACTGTTACAAGACACTGTCCGCTTTGACTGCGTCAAGTCTGATGAATGAAAGCACTGCGTTTCCTGTCTATTTCTTTCAAAATAAAATCCGCACTACGCGAACTTTCTATTAATCTTTATTAGTACAATGTGATGAGTGAAATTGTTACACACCATTGTTGCTTAATATATTAGCCTTTTCTTAAATAACATATAAATACATTTATTCGTGGTCTATTTCACTGAGTAAGTCTTAAATGTCTAGAACAAAAATGCATATCATAACATGATCCTTTCAACTAAGGATTTAGGAGATTTTACCAGGGATGGCCAGCATTATCAAGAGATGATTTAAGCCAAAAACTCATTTTCGTCAAAAGATGACTTAGGCCACTATTTAAATAGGGTGACGATATGCATAACTGGATACAGCTTAATGGTAGTTTGTTCCCCCTTTCAAGACATTTAAAGAATCATAATGCTGTATTTTCTTACTCTGGAACGACCCTTAAAATTGAAGTGAGCAAAACTAAGAAAAGGGGGAAATCAGGCCAAATTCAATCCAACAGATAACAAAATTATTTCTTAAAAGGATGTTGCACTTTAAATATGAAGCATGTAAAAATCTCCCTAATTTTCAAGTGTTTATTTAAAAAACTGTCTCAGGCAAAAGGTATTGTGTTTATTGTGGTTTATATTTTTGTAACATTAATTCCCAGTTTTACTTTGAAGGCACAATAGCTGTAATGTCCGGTGTCGTCATGTTGACTGTGTGCTGTAAACTCACTGAGGCACAAGTCAAAAATGTGAAAGATTTGATGTGTCACAGTGGCAGAAAGTTGATTAATTAATCAAAAAGTAATTTATTATCATGTGTCCAATGTTTTCTAAATAGGCAAAATAAATTAAATCACGATAACCAGCTAGCTTCAGTTGTAAGAATGAGGAAATTATCACTTCAACAAAAAACCGTGATGGATAATGTCAAAGAAAACCCCAGTATAACAGTATAAAAAATGACAAGTGTATAACATCAGGAGAAAATAAACATCAAAGTGAATGTGTTTCAGTTTGGTTGCAATTTGGACTTCAGTGGAATGAACCAATTAGGTGTTACCTGAACTTCCAGTATGACTTTTATTTTCATTTGTTTAATTAAGAGACAGGGTGTAACCGTGGGATTAAACATTTCAAATGGACTGATATTGACTCAACAGGCTGCGGCATGCCCAACCTGCTGATGTCACTATTTTTAACACATTGACTGTTTCTGCCTGCAGCCTGAAACAGAGTCACGCTACTTGTGGTTGATATGAATGAGAGTGCTTAATTTAGCTATTACACAGGGGCATCAGTTACACTGCAACTGGAAGTCAAATTATAATGGACCATGAAAGATCACTCATTACCATCTAAAACTTTAGGCCTTCCAGTTGTACAGTAGCCCTAAGCAGACATGAGGTTATTAATTTGATTTACTAAGCTTTACCACACCTAAAGTAGCCTTGTTTCTGATCATTTTCATAATGTCAGTCTTTGCAGTAGCCCACTACTGACATTAGTATCAGGCATCCAAGTATTTTGACTTTTTAGTTTTAGATATCTAAAATGTCATGTACATATCCAAGATAAACATGTTGGATATCCATAAGTTACTTGGAGAAGCTTTAATATCTATCCAGTTGTTACTGTTTGTAAATTCATTGTCAGGTACCTGTAATGGGAAAACTTACCTGATATCGAAATTTGATTTAGGAAATCCAGAATACATTGTGATCAGTAACAGTATTGTTTCCAATATGTTATATGATGAATATTTTGGCTATATCTGCAATCAAATATTTTATGGTATAAACTTTTAAAGCCAGATTACTGCTGTTCAATTTTTAGGGTTCATATCGTCAGTGTCACATATCTGAACCAGAAAAAAAAATGTTAAATAGCATTTAAGGTAAATAAAAATTTGACAAATTATATTATTCACATTAGCAGGTTGCTGTTATTTTTAATTACTGTTATAAATATCTTAAATATAATTCCTGTATTCAGATTAAATGTCAAAATGTCAAAAAATCACAACCTCATAAGTATAAAACTGCATACTAAAGGGAGAAATTAGAGTTATGGATATCAAAAAGGCTTTTACAGATGTCTACACTGGTGTTTTTCAAAGTAAAGTACCGTTTTACATATAATAATAATAATAATAATAATAATAATATTAATAATAATAATAATAATAATAATAATAATAATAATAATAATTTGTCATGTTTTCACTTAAAATTTGTAATGACTTAATTTTTTGGATGGTACTTGAATAAGACTAAGTCCTGCACAGAATCGAAAGGCAAATATTCAAAATGTTCATCTTGGATGATTGGAATGATGATCTGAAAATGAAAATTTATTACGCATTAAAGGCAAAAGTAGTGCCATTACTCATGAGGGGGCACTTATGGATCGTCTGATACGTCTAAATTGACTAAGAAGCGTTTCATGACTAATTTATGATCAACTGGCCATAGACCATGTGCCATGCTGGCAAAAAATGAGGTAAGTTAAGCCTATTTGTTGCAACTCTGATTCACCCAATATCCACTAATGACAAGGAAAATGCTTCGTTAGGCCAGCAGATGGAGTCAGATTATCTTTTTTTCCCCAAAGATATTGGGTTCGAGACAGAGTACCAAAAACGCACTGTTGGGGGCGACATTTAACCTCGCAGAGACAAATGAACGCCTGTCTGGAACAAATGCATGTAAAGAGACGATGCAACAGCAGCTGTCGCAAGGTTGTGCACTGCATACAAATGGGGGCATTGATCTTTATTTTCCCTCGCTCGTTGTAGCCCACTGTTGTCTTTGGAGTAACCTTAAATGATGCACTAAACTGGCTCGTCGTTTCCTACTACACATACAGTGAACAAATACGCCTATAGATTCTCGCGTGGAATCGGTGCAACAGTGCTCTGGATAGCCGATTGTTAATAAACGAAGATAAATGGCGCTTAAAGTTAAAAATAAAGATTCAGATTATATAAAAACACAACGTGCATTAACTTAAATGTTGGTAGTGTTACAGCAGACTCTTAATCCGCACTGATTAGACTGCTGACAACATAGTACTTTATGTTATTATGAAAATGACAATACGGAAAAGCAATTGGAACAAAATTATGAAAAGCACTCAAACAGGCTGGTAATATTCACCGTTATTAGGCTGCATAAACCCCACAAAGTTTATATAGATATGTCAACATAAGGCTGAATATCGCCTGTAGCAGTAAAGTGATTTGTCGTCTGGGTTATTTTTATGTAAGATGTAGCACGAGGTCCGCAGTGCTCGAGCAGCCTGTTATTGTTGTTGTTGTCATTCTGACGGCCCGCCATAATCTACGTCTCTCCACTCGGGTTAGATATAAGCAAAATATTTGTGTTTATATTTTTGTAGAGTGTGTTTTGTCAGTAAGTAAAATACTTGTAAAGCTTAGCGAGACTGTATCCATGTCAGTGGAACAAGCCATGCTGATGTCAGAGATTTTTCCTCTGCCCTCCACGGTGGGAGGATCTCTGTGCGTTGAGTCACGCAGCTGTCAAAGATAGCTGTCACCCAGTTTCAGGATCAAACACACACAGTCAATGTGAAAAGGGCTTTGAGCCGACAGGACGCAGAGATCTCAGGTAACCCCCCCCTCTCCTCCTCAAGTCTCCAAACCAGGACGACCAAAAGAGGAGAAAGAAGGAATCCAAAAAAACGGGGGAAAGACGCGAGTTTTTGATGAATAAGGATTTTCGCATATTCGGATACACGCTGGGGATATCTGGAGAAAAGAAAAACACTACAGGGACACAAAAGCAGTTTTCTTCGGTGCTTTTACGGGGAAAAGTGGAATTTTTCTTACGGAGATGAAGACGAAAAAAGGTAGGTTTGACTGCTTAGAAGAAAAAATCGGTGAGATTTTGGAAGAATGACAGAGACGACTATTAAGAGAGCGTTTCCCCCATAAGCAAACCATGCAGTCTATTGTTTCCTTTCCAGACATGACAGGGGGCTTTTTCTGCCATGTGCTGGCGCGATGTCAAAAGTCAATATAGCTAGGTTTGTTCGTCATATTTTAATGAAATACTTACGTTAAGTCCGAGTTTTCCCTCAATAACAGGCTGCTGTTTCGCCATGTGTTCTGTGTTTTGTCTCTCGATGAATTTAGGCGACATTAAGGTCTCGAAAAAAACGTTAAAAGTAGATGAAAAACGACGCTTCCTTTTAGCTAATTAAACGGCGCACGCGACATTTGTGTCGAAGTTTGACCAGAGTGCGAAGACAGGTTAAAGTTTGGGGGCTATTGTGAGTCCCAGAGTTTGAAATGTTACAATTTCAGAACGTGCAAGTTTCAAAAAATCGATATGTTACACATTTTCACAGTCTGTTACACGAGGAAACACCTCGAGCTCTTTTTTGTTGTGTCCAAATCCAAATGTGGGCTAATGTTCATCCTGACCTCATTGTGGGAAGTTGCTGTTGCCTTGTTACATTCATGGACCTCGTGGTGCAGCGCGCACACACAATAGAAAAGCCCTTACAAGTTGGTTAAACTCACAAAAAACACTGTCTTCGTGGCGTTGAAACGTGTATTCTGCCCACTATGTTACAAGTTGATGTTTTGGAGTTAGTTTACTTTATGGCGAAGTCGCTGTTTGCGTTTAGAAACTTTTGAAATGCATACAAAGAAGCACGCAGCCCTAGATTCTTTTGTTTAGTCTGGAGACGCTGATTTGCAACAGGTCTCCCCTCCCCCTTCCCCTCTCTCCAGCCTACGTAATTACCTCATCCTGTTGGCCGCTCAGACTTGGGAACTTTCTTATTCCTTTCCCACTAGTTTTATCCAAGGCAGACAGCACTAGATTAAATCTCCTCCTAAATTAAGCATTTTCTTAATAGGATTTGGTCTGCGTGCAATGCCAGTTCCTCACGAACATACAAAAAGTGATTCAAACATCACATAAATGTAGAGAGATCTGCATCCTTTTTATCTATGACTTATATTGATGGATCCCTACTTTTCTAAGTGTGAACAATTTCATAAAAATATGTCTGAAAAAGTGATCAAAGTAGTTGTAGGGTTGTTTTCTCATGCTTTAACATGTGAAAGTAGGCTAATTCAAAGGGTTTAAATCCTGTTTGATCATGATTGACTTTGATAAGACATGCCTGAAATTAAAAAGGAAAGCAACTCTGTAATCTCTGGGAATGCACAGTGACGGTTCCCCAAAATAAAATCTCCATCTATCGTGCAGTGATTGTTCTTGTGGTCAGCCAAGTGTACCTTACTTATCCAAGCATGCAAGGTGTGCTTTTAGTCTGTACAGTAGACCTGGCTTGTATTTGTTGAGGCAGGTTTTATAACTGCCAGAGCATCAGACCAGCCTTTGTGACGTCCCCCCCTCCCTCCTTCCCTCCCTCCACGGCTCCCTCCCCCTCCTCCTCACACCCTCCCTGGCTCCTTATATGAATCACATGGCTGAACTTGACAGCTTGCTTCTGACACATCAGCTGCCTCCCAGACAGCTTGTGTTTGGTGAGCGGCTGCGGCAAAGCGGCTGGGAGCTCGACAATAGTTTGGCTGACATAAGAGGGATACACATTGTTCTTTGTCCTTTTCTCAAGCACTCTCTTTTCCTCCTTGCTCCCGCTGGTTTCGCGCAGGTTTGATGATGCTGTCAGGTAGCGAGACAGATGACGAGGACAGCGTGGACGCCCCCCTGGATCTATCCTCAAGCGCAGGAAGCAATGGGAAGAGGAAACGGCGAGGGAATCTGCCCAAGGAGTCCGTTCAGATCCTCCGGGACTGGTTGTATGAGCACCGATATAACGCTTACCCCTCTGAGCAGGAGAAAGCCCTCCTTTCCAAGCAGACGCAGCTCTCAACACTGCAGGTACACACACAGAAAAAAAAAACAACACCCCTTGAGAGTTCACAGATCACCGTAAAAGTAGATGAAGCAAGTGTCAGCCTGACTGAATCACATCCTTTCTCAAAAGCTCACAAAACATGACACATAAGCAGAGAATTGAAGGTCATCCAAAGCAGCTTGATGTTGCAACTTTGAAGCCTGAGACAACGTGAGTAAGCTCACTCCCTGTGCAGTGCTGTGGGCTTGGCTGAGGCACTCGGACAGGAATTTCCCTCCCTCCAGCCCCTTTCCATCCCAGCTGTCTGGGAACAATGCAGAGTCATTTACAGGGTTAGAGCTCCCTGAGCCAGTTACAACTAGCCTGCAGGACTGAGAAAGAAAGGAGAGATGGCGGTGATTACTGCAATAAGATGAGTGATAACCGAAAATTATTTTAAAGAAAGGAATCCAAATTTGACATTTTCATAAGAAGTCAATTGCTGTTTTAAATCTCTTCTGATAAGCAGGAAAGGCCAATAGTTTGAAATATATAGCCTCAGGTTAAATAATGTATGATGGGTGTTGTTGTTTACCTTTTTGAATTTGACTGAGTAAGCGTATCAGACATTCTTTCAAAGGGAGAGCATCAGTGAACCATGTGACATTAAAACAGCATGCGTTTTTCTCGTTGTTGCCTCCAGGTGTGCAACTGGTTTATCAATGCCCGGCGGCGACTTCTCCCAGAAATGCTGAGGAAAGATGGCAAAGATCCCAACCAGTTTACCATCTCCAGGAAGGGCAGCAAAGCCGGCGACAGCTTCTCTGACAGCTCCCAGTCGCCTAAACACTGCAGTCCAGCGGCGGGCACAGAGGAGAGCTACGACAAACGCGTCCTCCACCCCTCCAGTTTTGAACCAGCTGTGTCCGGCGTCCTGAGGAAAGCCGTTTCCCCTTCCATACCCTCTCCAACCTCTGTGTCCCCATCTCCAGGGATCATCCCCACCCGGCCTTCAGTCATCTGTCACACTACTGTCACCACAGCGATACAGGCCCCTCCCTCTGTGCCGGGAATGAACTGCGACAGGGCGGAGGAGCTGCTGCAGCATGCACAGGCACTGCTCAGGTGCAGGGAGGAAGTGCCGCTTTCTACCACCAACACCGCCACCGCCACTACCACCATCCTCAGCAGCACCGGCATGGAGGGCAACCTGAGCCCCCGCAGCGGGCTCTTCAACACCCCTCCCCCCACCCCTCCAGACCTAACACAGGACTTCAGCGGCTTCCAGCTCCTGGTGGACGTGGCTCTGAAACGGGCTGCAGAGATGGAGCTGCAGGCAAAACAGCTGGTCTCCTAAAAAGGGACAAAGTGACACAAAAAAGCGACGAAGGAGAAGAAGAAGAGGAGGGAAAAGAGACTGACTTTGTGTCTCTGACTGTGGAACTCTCCCTGAGTTCAGTGACTTGTCTGCACGCGACAGAGAACAAACACATAGACGCCTGATCATTTCTATTTTTGGTAAACCAATCAAATTGATGAGGATGTTTTTTATGGAGAAAAAAAAACAAACTGTATCGAGGTGCCTTGGCTGTAAGTTGTTTATTCATTTCACATACATGCGTATGTTTCTACATGTGTATCTTATTTGCACACAGGGACCAAAAAAATGTTATCAGAGAAATGCTGCCTGTCTTATGTCTTTCCATTTTACTGTGCATCATCATTAGAGAACTAGAATCAGCCCTCACCCACACACGTTTACTGTCACACATTTCACAGATCAGTTCATGCTTGGTCTGCCTTGTTTGTTTGCACACTAACGGCAGAGGAAGGTCATCTCAGTGTCTTAAACATACTTTGCTCTTGGCATCTATGACAAACTTATTCACTACTGTAGAAAATGTTATGTGTTTTCATGAGTATAAGTATAGTTTTGACTTTGTATTTACTTTTAGCTATTTTTAAAAAGAAAAAAACCTCTATGCTTTTGTTTTTTTACTCTTTTTTTTTCCCATCAAGGGATATTTCAGATGACCAATGTAGCAGGTTCTTAGTCTGAGCCTTCATCCCAATATCACTCAGCGGGGGAAAAAAAAAAACAATGGCCAGTGGACTGGAAAATGAAAACACTACAGATGTCTTTTTCTGCATTTTGCTGTTTTTCCAGACAGCATTTTTTTGAAATCACCAAAAACACATTTTCATGTATAATAGGACCATGTGTATAGTTAATGTGACACCATGCCCAATGATGTGATTTCTTTTCGTACTGTGCAATGTTTGTGGCAAAAAGGGGTCACATGGGATTCAAATAAAGTTTTGTTTTTCTACATCTCAGACTTGACAGTTTCTTTGCCCTCGCTCAGATCGTACACATCCACTCACGGTTTCTTGTAAATCTGACTTAACTTTGAGGAGATGACTGATTCATCCCTGTAGGATAAGGAGAGTGAATCAGAGCGTTCAGTAAACAAAAAGGAGGGAGGACAGAAATAGTCTAGCATTCACTTCTTTCCACAGGCGGCCGTTAGGAGACATTCCTGTGTGCGGGAGGTTTACAACAGCTCCTGCCAATTAGCATAATCCTGCATAAATTAACACCAGCAAACGGCAGACGTCAACAGTTTCTTGCCAGCGGAGGCTTTGTGTGTCCCTGCATCTCAATAGAGTCGATGTAAGTCAATACATGAGGCAGCTTACATCTCAGTTCAGTGGCTTGTTCAAGGCTGCGGGGACAGCTGTTCCATTCTGGTGCTGCTAAAGCGTCTACATCAGCCTCAATAGGATTTGTTGTCTAGATTTGGTGACAGACCCTTTCATTTATCATGTGTCATCTCTGAGGCTCAAAAAGATCCATTTTGAAAAGAAGAAAAAAACATCTATTAATGGTTGTTATTATCTCGACTACTCTTTACACCAGTGGCTTTGCACCAAAGAGTCTCTACTGCTATCGAGCCCATTTCCACTTTTGACTTTTGCTGTTACTTGTAAAATTTCATATGGATGTTATGTCCAAATTTTTTTAATAAGCCTCATAATATTCATTGATTAAGCATTTTACAAATGTATTGAACTCAATGAGGCAGGTCATAAAGTCACAAAATGTTCAGATTTTTAAAGATAAACAGTTTTGGTATAAATCAGATGGGAAAAAAAAACAAAAAAACTCATCAGTAAACAGTAATGCGTTTCTCGGGGATGCCCTCGTAAATAAAGGCATAAAACTACAGATGGTAGTTAAAGCCCACCAAGGTGGCAAATCCAAAAGGCATACAGACTCCAAGCCAGGCTTCCCACAAAGAAAGATACCCACTTCCTCAACCCCCTCCTGCCTGAACTCTGGCCACTAGGGTCAGCCTGCCTCTCCTCAGCATGACTGATGTGTGAATGACAAATCACCAGAAGCTGCACGTACAGAAGTGATGGGGCTGAGCCAAGGCCAAAAGTGCTGTCTAATTATAGGTCCCGCCCCTGCGGAAGGGAAATGCCCTGAAAACACAGCAGGCGGGCCTTGTAATCTGTTTAATTATATTCACATTGAAAACACATGTAGAGACAGAGGACAAAATGACCGACCCAAAAATATGGCAATGACATAGTTTTAATGCTGATAAGAGCTCATACACGTGCCATAACATCAACAGTGTAATAACATTAATTACAAAATGTATATCTGCTTAATATGTTATCTGATCGGGTTCTTTCATTTACATTTACATAGGGAAACATTCAATTATATACAAATGTTGATTTGAATGTTTTCTTCTTTACTACATCACAAGCTTCAGAGTTGCTGGAGTGTGTTTTGAGTTTAGCAAAGAACCACAATCCACCATTCTGGTTTCTAACTCCCTGCTATATCAGGAGTGTTATATTGATATGTTAATATCATAAACATAAAGAAGAAGTCAATCAATTGACAGACAATTCAAATACAAGTTCCAAGGTAAAAAAAAATTAAATTAAAATAAGTTTCATCTACTGAAAATGGCATTAACTTTGAACTATTGTTACTTTTATGCATTCTCTCTAAAATTTAATTTATGTACTAAAGGAAAGACAAATTATACCGTACTGTTACTTCATCACTGGAGTTCCTTCACAATTAAAAACGTCTGTTCAACAGGGACAAATAGCAGGAATCAATCCTTCACTATCCAATGGCACAAAACTTGAGATGTGGACTCCGATGTCCCTTTACTCCGAAAATAAAAATAAACCGGCTCAGGATTGTCTCCACATTCGAGCAGCTGACTGAAATACCTTGTTACATTACAGTTATATAAGGGCAGACATGTGCAACAGCAACACAATTCAAAGGATGGCGTGGATACTTCCCTTGGTAAAGATCATTGGGTTATTATATACAGTAAGGAGATGAAGCCATGGGTAATATACAGACATACACTTCCTCATACATACAAACACACACGCACGCACACTCGCGCACTTCTTCCCCTGAGACTGCTGTTGTGCTCAACTATCGTATCAGAAATTAAGGCTGATCACCAAAACAGAAACGACAAAAAAAAAAGTGCCTGTCATGCAAAAAAGAAAACAAACACAGTATAAGGGCCTTGTAGTCAGTGCATAATAATAATCACAATGTCATAAACAGTCATTGTTCTAATCAATAAATTAAACATGGATACAAAATATTACAAATTGTATTTTTTTTGTTGTAATAATTGCTTCATTTGGAGGCAGAGATAGTGCACACACAGTGAGGAGAAAATAGTCCCTTTTCAAAGTCCCTTTTTAGTCTCAATACTGACAATAAACCTCCAGTCTAAAAATGACATATTAAAATATAGTACAACTACCATTATTGTACCAAATATCTGTGTTTTATTATCTATCTGTAACACCAGAGACTTTGAACGCAACATGAGAAAGGATTAACCGGTTTAGAAAAGACAAAAAGTTTCAGTTAGCTTGTGTTAGCATGCACGTCATGTCCGTATACTGACTGTTCTTTGTACAAACATGTTGCTCAGTTTCAAATGAGACAATGTGGGTGTTTTCTTTACAGTTTGTTGATACTGCTACTTTAATATTCACTTAAAACTAGGACCCTTTAGACCTAGAAAAATAGGAAGCACTTTTGAAATGAACGCTCGAATCACACGACATATACACACGCTCTTGCTCTCGTACACACAGAGTGGGCTTGTGGCATTTTTTCTTTTAAACTGTGATTTCCTTCAGTGAATTTCACTCTCTGCAGAACTCTGAAAGCTGCCCCTGCCTCACCTGGAGGAGCAAAATCTGACTTTTGACCTTTCCTGCTGCTGTAAAGGACCCATTTTTAAGACAGAGGGCGGATTGTGTCACCAACTGACACTGAAGTTTCCTTGTCTGATCTTTTTACTAACGTAGAACTGTGAAAACAAATCAAAAACTACACAGTTTAAGGTATTTTGGAGTCTGTTCATGGGCTTCCATATCAGTATAAAAATAGCTTAAATAATAAATATCTAATATGAGTCAAAACATCTGTCTGGTTTCTTCATTTGATTTGACACATTTGATCAAAAATCTGAACAAATGCTTATCTAATGATGTGTGTTTGCATGTATATACAGTACACACACACACACATACACACACTGCACATGCACATGCATGCTCTACCCCTGTTTCCCTGTGAAAACTCTCGAACACACAAACGTGAAGCATATCACTGTTGTGCTACAGCTGGCTTTCTTTGTAGTATCAGGTCACTTTAAAAAAAGGATTCATAAGATACATGTGTGTGAGTGAGGGGGCGTGTGGAGGTACAGGAGGAGAGGGGGCTGCTACATCAAAGCTGGAACGAGGAAATAAGGAGGGGAGAGGAGGGAAATAAATAAATAAATACTGAAAAATGTACATTTATTGTTCAAATATCTTCCACTTTGACTCCGCAGTGATCTGAAGTCTGCAAAAACTGTGATTATGCTGAGTTAGCACCCTAACCTAACTGTTCAGTGCTATTGCCTGGATGGGAGAGTGTATTGGAGTTTTGTATATGTGTGTGTTTGTGTGTCTCATAGTCTGGTCTGAGCCTCAGGGATATAGATCTCGATACTGTCTGCGCTCTCGGTGGCAGAGCTCTGCCGAGCTGATGCGGCACGTTTGGCAGCTAGCAGGCGTTTGCGAGCCTCCAGACGCTGGCGCTCGGAGCTCTCCAATGAGCGGTCCCTAGCCAGGGGAGGGTGACCCTTCTGGGGCTTCTTTGGCACGGGAGGAGGCATCCGTCTCTCCTGGACAGGAATGATAAAGAGTCTTAAATAAGAGCAGACTGCACCTTCATGGCAAAGCTGCAGCAAAAAAAAAAAAAGGTAAGGAGCGACAAAACCGCAGCCAGCTCGGGAGAGGGTTAGAGAGAGCGACGCGGCGTCTGAGAGCATGCAAGTCTGTATGAGGTTATGGTTCACAGTGGCAGCCATTTGTGTGAGGGAGGCCATAGTGTGAGGTAAAAGTGACCATTGGAGGTGGACAGGCCCCAACGGTGCATGGCAGGTAGAGAAGCTTCTCAAAAGCAGCTCACTGTCAACAACAAGACAAAACACATGTGGTGACATCAGGCAGGCAGGCAATACGACATTAAACAAACAAACAAACAAATCTGCATGCTAGAGCAAAGCTTCACAGGATTATCAGGATTAAAGTCAACATATACAGTAAGGACGTCTGAAAAACATGCAGGTTAGTAAAGCATTCAAAACAAAAATAGTGTTCAGACATTAAACAGAGATTTACTGGAAGTCTGCACCTGAATCTCTGGCGGGGACAGGGGTTTCCAGTTGTTGGCTTTGAGTTGATGGAGTTCGTCAAACTTCAGGCTAATGTTCTCGATGGACAGCTGGAGCATGTCCCAGAATCCAGCCAGGTCTTGGGAGATGGGCCGTGGGTGAGCATTTGGGTTCTGAAACACAAAACATTGCATTGATACAACTATTCACATGCTTATCTCATATTTCTGAAAAGATGACGTTTCTTTATTCCCCTCTGTTTTTTTTTTTTCCCCTCTGTAGTTAATCCCTATTATTCTAAAATTGTCTCAGGCCTGCCAATCATCACCTTTCATTTGGTATATGTAAACACTGCTTCATAAAAAATGTAAATACAGACATTTATGCATGTCGTAAAAAAACACAAGATTAAAAACAATAGATAATATTTTCATTTAAAGGCAAAGAGATGGAATTTGTTTAAAATGAAGGGTAAATGATCTAAGAGAGATGCTTATATTCAACTTAAAGTGAATAAACATGCACAAATAGCACTAACTAAACAGCTTGAGGCTGCTTCTACACAGAAGCATCCAAAAACTCCTGCTTATCAGGCTCCAG